TGACTGCTTCACGGAGATAGCTGTTGGGTCCAGCGCTTTTAATGTCGCCGCGAGCCAATGCTCGCAATCCTCAGGAGGGCGTAAATTGCGCTGGACGTCGTAGATAGCTGCTGACAGTTGTCCAGCGAGCCACCTTTTTGTAGAACTATCGCTCACTTTGTCTGTAAATCTAGTAATGACATGGAAGGGGTCTTGTTTGATCTCTACTCCATTGCCAAAAACTCTCTCGATGACATTACGATTAGCATTGGCGTTGTCGCACACACATATCCGTGGACCATCGGACGCATTAACCATCTTAGATACGAGACTTTGCAAAAGGGTTTCCGTCTCGACATGATTTTCCGATTTAGTTAGTGTTCTTCCCATTATTTGACCTACCTCGTTTTGTACTAGCAGCAACATTCGAATGCTTGCCGACTGTTCTTTACTGCCATCAGCACCATACACCTTCAGCTTACTACAGAACTTTTGTGAGTGATCAATGCGGAAAACACGATCACATTTAGTATCCTTCATCTGTCCAAGACACAACCTAGAGAGTATTTTAGTGTGAGTTAACCACAAGTCCTTCAAAACTTCGGCGTCCAAACACATATGACTTGTCATGTACTGTGCTTCTGTTGGGGGAAGAGGTGGGCTGTAGGCTCTGTCATCTTCTCGCGATACCTCTACGTGGACACCGACACGAGAAAGAAGGCCATAATATCGCTTCTGCCGCCGTCGCTCCACATTTGCTACTGCACCTGCTATTCCTTTAGTCGAAAGCATACCATCATAATGAATATCAAACATGTCCGATGATATGCCTGTCTTGTAAGTTAGCAAATATGGGGAGTTTAGAACAAACAACTTAGATGACGACAGATATGCGTCACTGATGGTAGAAAAAGACTTCTTCGCCCCGCCAGTGCATTGGTAGCGCGCGTAATACAGTACCGTTCGGTGTTCCACGTCCTCGACGGTAAGTTGTTTGTACTGCTTTACCTTGAGCACACAACGGCAGGCTATCACAACACATTTGGGTTTGCGGTTGGGCTCCAGGCACTCTGGAGCCCATGTAAGGGTAGGGAATCCAAACCATTCAGACAGTAGTGTACCAGAAATCATTTCAGGGTAGCTCAGGAAGGGTGGAAACTGGCACCTCGCAATAGCTTCCACCACAGCAGCCTGTACTGGGCTCGTTCTGCCCATGGATTTCAACTGAAAATAAAAATATATATATATATATATATATTTTTTTAATTTTAGCCAGCCACGTGGGTTTAATGGCGGGCGGGCCACCCGCAACCCTGCGGGTTGCGGCGGCCTGCGGCCAAACAATACCGGTCAAGCCCGAAACGGATCTGTCAAAAAATACTGGGTTTGTCCCGCTACAGCAAGACCGTTGGGGACGGACTGGGACCGCTTGTGTTAACCGGTCACTTAAAATGTCCCACCCAGCACTACCAGACCCGAAATAACAGCAACACCATCGTTAATACAAATTTTTAGATAAAGCTTATCAGCTGTTACTTCATAAGTATCAAAAGCACTAAGAGATTATCAACTTCGCTGAACACGAGACACCAGCACTCACAAGTACGTACACTCGACTATGACGAACTGTCTCGGCTTCTACGACGGAACGCTATTTCTACAGGTGGAAAATGCCAATCTACTGGTGCATTGTGATTTCTACAGAAGGGATAGGGAACGTAGGGTCCATTAATTAGTCCATAAGGACTTAAATTTAGTCATCCTGTCAGATTCGTTTGCGGTCTACATGTCGGTAATGTAGAGTAACGATCTTGAAGTGGCTTCAAATTAACCTCCATTGAGCAGTTATCACGTTTTTACGAAGTCTGCCTCTGTCCGGGCATAACAATCGACAAACTCTATAATATACAGTCCATTGCCTAGCTGATATAGACGAATTTATGAGCTTACAATCCAACGAGTGGTGAATTCATTGCATTGTCTATTGTTTAGGGCAGTAAATTGCTCCGGTAGTAGACTTTAATACGTCTTGCTGATCCTGATCCCATACTCGCACATCTGCCCAAATTGTTCTCATAGACCCACCATACCAATGGGTCGTACAGGTACGTCGAGAAGCCACTGAGTGCTTACAACATATCGAAAGCCATGTTTGAATCAGAAACTAATCAGTCCATCTTCGGTCGTCGAGTGACATATTTCAGTGTACGACGACTTAAATCTCCGCGCTAGTTTCAGTGCTGCAGGCAACATTGGAGACCCCAACTAGCCGATTTTGTCGTAGTCCATCCGTGTTTTTT